ATATATATATATATATATATATATATATATATATATATATATATATATATACATAGACGTTTTTATGTGAAATGTAAAATGTAAGATGTGCAAATATACGTATTTAAAAATACACATCCAAATGAATATTCCTGCGTTACATCGTCAAACACTTTCTTTCTCTCTGTAGTAATTTAAAAGTTTTAAATAAATTAAATTAAATTTAAATTGTTCTTGTGTGATATCTTGCGACCAGACTTTTTATTAAAATATAATTGAGAATCTCATGTTTCTTTCGCGATGGATTACTTGAAGTCCATAAATATTTATATTTTAAATCTTCTTATGTTTGAAGTAATTGAGTCTTTCTAAATTATGAGACGTTGCGTTTTCAGCATTGAACGTTCTGTAAACTATCGCAGTAGTTACAGCCAGCGCTGACCGGGTATGCACCGACAAAAAGTCGGGCAGCTCCAAGCACGAACTGAATTCGAGAGGTTGGACAGAAGGTAGCGAGTGAATTGTCGCGAAGGTCGCCCGGCTCACTTTTCCCTCACACTTTTCTCAGTTGATTCTCGGCTCATTGCGGACCTCTTACTCCTGCCTGTCTGTTACACTTCCATTTCACTGGGCCGATACGAGCCGTTCCCATAAGATACAATAATTTTTAAAAACCGATGCTCTCGTATTCCGCTCGTAAGTTACACTTTATTTTATTATGTTAAACTACTAAAAATCAAATTATGATTATTTCTGATTATTTATGATTATATGTGATTATTTCCCATTTACAAGGGAAAGGTGGGAAGTGTCTGTTAGCGATTTTCATGAGTTTTGAATACGTTTTAAAGCAGCAAAAGATATTATTTTCATATTTTGATGTGTTTATTTCGACGTTTATGGGTCGGAACAACTTTTTAAAAATAAAAGATTTTATTTTCAGCGGATATCACATAAAAACTATGAGAGATATATCAAAAAATATTTTAAACAATTTTATATTTTTTATAGTAGTGTATTCAGATATTCTCCGAAAATATTAAAGAACATTTCTGTACTATTACAAATAAATTTAGAATTTTTAAATATATAAAAAATTTGCAGAATGATTTCTATATATTCGTGGTTACATTTTCTGCTAAATATGAGGAAATAAAGTAGCATACATTTATTTCAGGTCTATATTTGCACACTGTCCAAATAGCTTTAACATTTTTTTTTCACTAGTATCAATCGAAAATCTTGACCACGCACAATGCATCTACATATTCATGCATCATGACTGTCGACTATTCCGAAAAATTGGTAATGTTATCTAGAAGCAGCTGTGACATTAACAGCTCCCCATGGCGTTCAGATAACCAACTCTGGGTTAATCCGCAGTTGTTCAGAAATTAATTCGGTAAAATAAAGTAACTCGTCAGTTACGTTCAGAAATACCGGATAAGTTCTGTGGCATCTACGCGAGTGGCGTGTTGTGCTTTCGTAGATCTTTTAAGCAAGTCTTATTACAGTGTCTGATTAGAGTTAGATTGTGGGATTGTATTATTTTGTTTGATATAAAACCTAATTTCTCCATCTGGCACGTTCTCATGATTGGATCCAACTGTTTTATTAGTAACTTTTTCTTGATCAATTTTTTATTTTATTTTATTATTTTTTGGCAAAATATTTGCCAAATTAATTATTATATTGTCATAAATGAACAACAATAATTTATAGTTATTTTTGACGATTTAAAAGAGAAAATATACTCTTTTATTTTACTTACTTTTCTTTTACCTTATTTCTATTTTTTAATAATTATTACAATATTAGTTTCACTTAATTTAATTATTTAATAATTAAATATGAATTTTTCAGCAATATAAATAATGGAAGAATTGGTATCTCTGAAGGAATTTTCTGAGATCCAAGGACGGTATGCTGAACTAATACGTTAAATATTCAACAATTGATTTTTAGATATTTGTTTATATAAGTACTACAATATATTTTAGGTATTTTATACATTTAACAATATGTTTTTTGTTTACTTTTAAATATTTTCTAATTTATTATTAAAATAAAACATGCGTAATCGATAGAATGAGTTGAAAAAACCACAAAATACTCGTCTTGGTCGGATCCAAACAACTGTACAGTACTATATGTGACTGTATGGTATGAACTGTATGGTACTATATGTGACTGTTTAAATAATTTTGAGGAAGGATTAATTACTACCTATCTGGTGCTTTAATTTAATTGTAACTCTTAAATTATACTAATATATGTTTTGAATTTTCCTTGATATGTATATATGTATGTATATCAGCAGTCCAATTCGGGATGCAGTTTTCCATAATTGAGATTCATCTTGGGAAATATTTCTAATCACTTTTAACTTTCACGAGAACGTTTCCGTGTGACACTTTTTTTGCTTTCGGAAAGTAACCTGTCTTATATAGCATGGTGAACTTTCCATGTCACAGTTGCTTCTAGACAACGTTGGGCGTGTTCCAAAATATACTGCCAGCATTGATAGCGCTGTGAACACCGTTCTAAAATTTACAATAGCACTGTGGCAACGCTGCAAAAGAGTAATGACGTCGTTAATTTTGTCGTCATTTCCTGTTGCGTCTACAGAGGTGAGGCAGTTAGAGAAATAAAGATAGTGAGCACTTAGGAAGAAATAACGTAATTGATGCTGAAAATAATACAGAGTATGAAATTACTGTATCATCGGAAGATGCAATGAAAACAAGAAAATTTTGTATACTTATTTCTTTTATTAAGTGAATAAGAAATTGGCATAATCTATGTATTAATTTCTTATTATTAAATATGAAATATTAAATTTTTTAACAATATGAAATATTGTTCTTATTTTATTCATAATTATTACAGATCACAAAATTTGCATATTCATTATTTTTTTACTTTCGACGACAGTATATTCATAAATTTCTTTACTTTCACTACCAGCATCGAAAATATCGTTCCAAATCGAGATCTGTATAAGCATCAATAGCATGCTTATTAAAATTGGAACGCTTGGTAGTATGCTTTTATGATGACATATGTGTAGCTCTGGCAGTACATTTTGGAACATACCCGTTGCTATTTTTTCGAAATAATCGACAGTTGCAATATGATACACAAACATGTAAATGCATCGTGGTCGAGATTTTCGATTGATGTTAGTGAAAAAAATATTATAATTTTTCTGGCGGAGTATGTATGGCGGAATACATGAAATACACGTGGAAAGGTGTTGCATGATTGGGTCTATATTTATTTGACATGACATTTTGACCATTGTTTCTTTTGTTATCAATATCTATGGACTTTGACATCTTCTCAATGGACCCACTATCTTAAAAGCATTTTTAGATTGTGCACTATCTCATTTATGTCGATAGAAGAAAAGAGGAAAAAGTAATGCATCACATAAGATTACTTCTCTGCGTGCCTCCGATAGTTACACTGATAGTTACATATATGATTTTTCTTTTTAATACTTACTGTCTTAAATAGTTACTCTCAAAATTTCTCTTGGTGTGGGATCACAAACAATTGGAAAGTGGTAGTATTTTCACTTGAGGCAATAATAAAAATTTTGTCACGCAAATCGCAAAAATAATTGTTTTACTCAAGTTTAAAGTTAACTTCATATATGAGTTAATGCTTTAATCGATTGGAGTGAATATATTCCTGTGAATACTGTGGAATACATCAAATTCACTTTTCAATTTTAAAGAAAAATATTTACTCGATGATACAGAGTAGAGAATTCACTTTATAAGTGAAAAATCACTGGAATTCGAATGATTTAATGGTTACCTACTTTTACAATGAAATTCTTCTTTAAGAAATTTAGAGAGTATCTGCTTGGTAATCGGGACTAGAGACTAATTTTAATATTTTTCTCATTTTTCTTCGAGATAAATAGAATAGTACAATCTGAAAAATGTTTTTAGGAATTATTTAACATCTTTTTTCTTTTCAAAAATGGAAAATGAGACAAGTAACATATTTCGTTAATAAGAATAAATATACATCGTTTATCTCTTTTTAATAACATCAGAAGCAAAACAACACATGCTAAAAATTATTGTGAGAAGATAAAAAGATATATCAACAAAATGACACTTCGATTAAGCATATATCTAAAATATTTCGTACATTTTCCTCTTGTTCTAAAAATTAATAAATAATCGTAAAATTAATATGACAAAATAATGAAAAAAGAAGGTTGCATGTCACGTTAATTTTAAGATTATTTATTGATTATTAGAACAAAAGGAAAGCGTTCGGAATATTTTAGAGGTATGTTTGATCGATTGTAAGTTTTATTTTGTGGATATATCTTTTTATCTCGACATGTTTTGTAAGAATTTTTAGTATGCGTTTCCTCACTTCTGATGTTATTGAAAAGAGATGGACAACGCGAGTAGCCAAGAGCCTTAAAATAAAATTTTCTTTAATCTTACTTTTCTCCTATAACCAATACTTAAAAATTTGCAAAAATAATAAGAGGAAGTGAGAATAAAAAATTGACATTTTTATAAAATTTGTGAATGTATTATTATAAAGTACAAAATATTATAAAATCTTTTGCATAAACTGTTTGTTTCTCTTATACAATTCATAATTTTGATGATATCAGCCGAAAATTAAATTTGTTCTTATTTTCGAGTAGTTATTTGAATTTTTAAACATCGAGATACATAAAAAATTATTGAAAAAAATTTGACAAATTAGTGAGAAACAACTCTTTCTTTGTTAATGTTATATACCGGTATAACTTTTTATATCATATATGATATACTTCTCCAACAAATCGCGCGATAACTTCTTTTTTTCTTCCTCTTCCCTTTTCTTTATGTTCCCGCTGACTATACAATTTCCAAATAAGCTATCCCAAACTAAAAGCACACTTCCATTATGGAAATCTCATGCTGTACTCCTAATCACGTGAGACTCAGATAGATTTTCCTCTTAAAAAGAGCTCAGCAGTCCTAATTTCAAGTTAGTATGGTTAGCACGCTTCACAGCAGTGTGACACGCCGCGCTCTTAGAAAAGTCCGTGTTTGCGTCACACACACTTAAATCCACTAATCCTACTAAATCTTAACTTCCAATTTCGTCGTATAATTAAACAACCGTAGCTTTAAAAGTAATATTAAAGTAATTAAGCTTAATAATTTAACTGCACTGTTTACATTATCCGTTACGTACAAGCTTTTAAATTATGTTCGCCACACTTTTTTTTTTTATTTATGTTCATATTCATTTGTACCTGTCCAAAAACATTTTTATAATTTTACTATTATTTTGGCAAGTGCCAAAATTCTGGCCCTTCCTTTCCTTCTTTTGACATTTTGTGATCTAAATTTTAATTCAACCAGCAGGCCATTTTTACAAGGATCACAAGAGGAACAGCGCTGAGGAAAAGCCGAATACACGCTACGCGGTAAGTTACTTATCCTAGAACGCAAATTCCGATCACATAGGTACGAGGTGAATCTCATAGTGTCATTACCTCAAAACCCATTCCCAGTCTATTTGAATCTCACTGTTAAGCTTTTTATGATCATTCACCAATCTTTTTTAATTAATATCTTGACTATTATTGCAAATATCGCAAAACGGTATAGAACTTTTATGTTCACTTCAATCTGTTCTACATTCTCACAAAAATTGCGGAGAATCTGAGACACCTTGTATAATTTGATATGATCACATAATAATTCCTTCCTGGAATAGCAAGAAATCCGGAAAAAATTGAAAAGAAATCTTATCTGGTAAGAGAATATAGCATCTTCATAAACTTTATATAAATTTTGTGTATTATTTTTTTGAAAATTTCTGTAAATTCCTTTTAGAATAAATTAAATTGCGATATGGTATGAAAAATCCTGTTAAGATACGATTTCAGATGAGCTCTTTTTTCGCAATCGCGTTCTTAAAAGATGATTAAATGCCGAAGGTGAATACGAACAAGAAAATTACAATCTTTTGACTATTCGGCCTATCTTTCCACGGTTTCCCTCTGCGTTGTTAACAGGGCAGTTATTAAGATCGCCGAGGACGAGCGTGCGATTTCGGTGGTGACTATTCAAAGTAACGTTAATAGCGGACATTTCTTTGCCTCCGCATCGACAACGGTGGCGTTGCGGTTACGGCGTACGATACGGCCGCGCTTTCTTCGTCTTCTTTCGTTAGGATAATTATTACACGGTGGCGGCTCGTAAATGACGATTTATGACGTTCCGCGTACGCGCACACGAAAAATGCGTGAGAACCGCGTTTGCGTAACTCGGGACGAGCATCGTTCGCACGAGATGAAATCTGCCTAATCCCGAGTAAAATTCCACGACAATATCCGATCGATTTATAATAATTTCGATGTTATCTCATATATTAACTTTGATTAAATCACATGGAGGAAATTGCATTTTAATTTGAAACGATTATTGGAACAAGGATCTAGAAGCGAGTAAGAAGTGCAGCACGTTAAAGCCATTTAATTCCCACTTATTCTTGACGACAGGTGTTCGTTTTCAGTATTGAATGCTCGATAATTTAAGTTAATTTGTTATTCAATTCATTTGAAAAAAATTCAAATGCAGAAAGATTTATATTTCTTTGTTATTAAATATTAAGTTTGATAACAATTTTCGGAATGATTTTTTTATTATTTGAATTATATTACAAATCATTTAATAATTATTATTTTGATATTTTTAATTATTAACATTGTATACTTTCTATTACTATAAATTACTGCCACTATAACATTTTAGTATAAATTCGAGACTCATAACAGAAAGTTATAAAGTAATCCTAAAATCAGATTTATATATATATGGAGATCATAAAAATTATATAACAAATGTACATGTCGCAATATCCTTTCGTTGAGCCAGATTCATTTTCGAAGGATGCACGCTTTAGTTTCTCTCAGATAATTAATTTTTGGAGCTGATTATGCATTTTCAAAAAAATCACTTATAGTTTCTTATGAAGAGTGTAATGGATTCGGTGTTTCTAGCGAGATAGTAATTGCGGAACGAGCGAGCGAAGGCTCCCGTGAACGAAGGAGAAAGAAAGAGGGGATTCCGTGCTAACAGAAGGGATAAGAAACCCATGCACGTACTCTTTCCAACGGTGCGACGACTTTAGTCTGACGACCGCTTCCACGGAGCGAGGTTGACTAAAACTGACGTTGATCCCGGATCGTTCCTCGGTTCGACACGGTGCATTCGGATCTTGGCGAGTGTTTGGTGCGCGGAAGAGAAACAGGATTCGACCTTGTGTTCCGAGATTTCGCCACGCCGGACGAAATCTTGCGGTAACACCAGAAAAATTAAAAAAAAGAAAAAATTTTTTTCACAAAATAATAAACGCAAAATTATTAGGCTCTTATTGGAAGATTATTAGGCTCTGTTTGGTGATGTACGAATCTCGTGTGTAAATTTTATAAAACAGGTCCATAGGAAAACCTGTCGTTCACCGACAGAGAAATTCGATCGAGAAAACGACGAAATTTGGTCCCTTTAACAATTCGAATCGCCAATCGCGGTTCAGCCTTCTTAGCGCGCGAGCGCTTTGCACGATAACTCGCCTATAGCCGCGGGGTTCGCGATCAAAAATTCACCACTTGCGAAAGACGTACTTTACGTTCTCGCGGCACGTGGCGAGCTGCCTCTCGCCGATCCTGAGATCCGCCGGACTCGAGGAAGCCGACGCGGACGTGGACGTGTGGTGTCGCGGCCGTGCTCCGGGCAGGAGAAAGTGTTTGCTGTGTGTCGGTTTTTCGGTGGATACGAGCGAATTCAATCCGGCGATCGCTCGTCGGCGTCCGGTCCGAGGATGCGGGACTCGCGTCGTCTCGGGACAGCAGCATGATCCTTGGTGCGTACGACGGCAATCATCCGCGTGCGTTAACATGCGTGAAGACAAGTGTATCCGCGAGGTCCGATAGCTCCTCTTGCTGAAAAGATAACGGCTAGTTTAGAAAGAAAAAGAAAGTGTGTGTGAGATAGAAGCCCTCCGGCGAAGATCACCGGGCGAGAGAGAAGATCCAGGATCGATCACGAGGATAATCGTCGGCTGGCGGGCGCGAATCACAGGTCGGTCACATTTCGTGCTTCTTATTCGAAGGAAATAAATAATCTCAGACTCTGTTGTCATTCAAAAATGAAAAGTGTTTAATTAAATAATTACTTTTGTGTTCAAACTATTAGTTTGTATTGAAAACATTTTGAATAGAAATAATAAAGTAAAGGTCCTTATAAGAGCTTATTATTATTATAGTGCAACAGAACAAAACAAATTGTTTTCCAAAATATTCTGGATACCTGGGATATATACTCAGATAGATAGGTGTATGTAAATTTGGCAGTCACTTTTCTGGTCAATTTGTAAAGGTTGCATTCTACATCAGTAACTCATATGGCATTGATATTTTTATCATACAAAATTAAAAAAAAACAAAAGAAATACGAATGGAATTATTAAAATTTACTCAAAACAAAATGTCATGTAAAATATAACATGAAAATCTGAGTGTAACCTTTAGTAAATTTGTTGCCATAACGACGAGAAATTTACATTATACATTATTTACATTATTATACAATGTGTAAATATTAATGATTAATTTAATATGATATATTTGCTTGAAAGGTAATTAAAAGAATTATAAAGCTTCCATCATCGATTCTCACGTTATGATAATAATAAGAGTTTATCTTAATAATTACAGAATTATCCCAACGTTTCGCAAACAATTGTGATTTATTTTACTATAATATACCATGTACATACTTTTGTTGCTTCTTATTCCTTCTAACATTTTGATATGTCAATTTCTTTTTTAACGTTTATTCGTCACCTGCATTCATATTTAATTAAGTCTTTATGATCATAATTAGTATTGTCAGCAATACTGCGCGCTATTCGCAAGTCAGTCACTGTCAGTCAATTATGCGCGCAGCTTGCATATGCAAGGTGTTTACTTATGAGTGAAATATAAGGAAATATAAATCATACATATATTTACAAGATAAAATTATCGACGATGGCCGAGCCTCTTTAACCTATTTACTTAACCTATTCATCAGGAGATTGAAAAAATAAGCCCATATCTAGATAGATAAATATATGTAAATTTAGCAGTAACTTATTAGTCAATTTGTAAAACTTGCGTCTTTTATGAGTGATTCTTATGGAACTCTCATTTATCACTTAGAGTGATGAAATAGAAATACGAAAAAAGTGATTAGAAGAGAGCGATCCAGCATTCACAAACGTTTAGTTCCTTTTTCCAAAAACATTGAATATTCCAATTATTGATAATTATAGATTCTACCTAAGCAGCACAAAACATTGACTATAATGACCAACGTAAAATCTCTGTAGCCAATCGTTCGTCAACTAATACGTTACTGCTTAGGTGGTTCCTATCGAAAAATTGCGTTCAAGCGTTTATAGATACATTTCGCCTCTTTTTTAAAAACTTTAAATATTTCAATTAATGATAGACCGATTTGAAGCTTTTATGTTGAGTAGGTTAAGAATGTAAATCAAACATGCATCTAGAGCTCTAAAGATAAAATCTAAATTAAGAGAGAAATAAGGCCAATAAGAGCTAAATGCTAGATGTTCGTGCAAATTGGTGAATGAGGAGGATAATAATGTTTGTAGTGTTAAATGCACGCGAAATGATTTTTCGGTCTTTCAACGTACGTGATTAGCCACATCTTCCACTAACAAACTGACCCTGAAAACCTCAATATTTTGTTATTCTTGAATATCTCCCTGAATATTTATATAATACTCCCAATGCGCGTTAATTCATTTTTTAAGTTGCGAAAAATGTCTCTAGGAGTCGAACCTGGATCTCTTCACTTGTCGAACGAGACGCCGTATCAATTCGGCTACCGAGGCTTCGACAGTATTTCTCGCAATACTAAACGCTTATATGTTGTTATTCTTAAGAATATAAATATACTATACGCCTTCTTTCGCCAGCGTTTTAAACCAATTATGTATCTAAAGCTCTAAAGATAAAACCTAAATTAAAAGAGACTATACTACAAACATTTGCACGAATATCTAGCATTTAGTTCTTATTGCTCTTATTTCTCTTTTAACTTAAGAATGTAAAGTCACGATATTATTCTTGTAGTCATGTGGGAAATGAGCGATGCAATTTCAATGGACAGCTATATGGCGTGTAGCGTGAATCTTGCGTGTTATCAGAGAATAATACGCTCGACAATGATATTAAGATTTTATATTTTTATATAATCTATTTGTGTCTAAAGTTTCAAATAGATGTATTATTTATTGAAACGTTCAAAGTTTTACAAAATCTTATGGAAAAAGGACGAAACTTGACCGCACATTCAAAACAATATAACACGTAAAATATAATATAAAAATCTTAGTGCAACTTTTAGTAAATTTATTGCTTTATTAACAAAAATTTACAACAAAAATTTACAACAAAATTTACAACAAAAATTTTACTCAATTGTATGATGTAAATTTAATAATTGAATACAATATATTTTCTTCATAAATGTAATTAAAAGTTGTATAATGGAAATTTAAGTTAAATTTAAATCTAATATAAAGTTATGTAATTAAAAGAGGTAAAGTTTTTTTATGGTTAATTTGTCTCACGTTATGATAGAGAAAATGCGACATAGACCTTCTAAAGCGACATATTTCTATATCTCATATATTAAATGTTATATTTTATCGAAACTAATATGAACGTAATCCGTTTTATCAGTTAAGTCATAAAAAATTTATTCTTGGTATATTTCTTGTTCCTTTATATACTAAATTAGCAAATATCAAGTATAACTTGAAAAATTTTATGAGAATGTGTCTTAAAGTGACATACTTACAGTATGCGATAGGTGTGATACTTTGTGACTAACATAACTTGATTAATAATCTTCCATTGTGACATTTGTTTATTTTAAAGTTTAATTTTATTTAGTTTAAAAATATAACATATGTAAAATATGTGAGAAAATGAAAAAGATGGAAAAAGATATGTATTTATTTAATTATATTTCCCTTTTGTAATATATTATTTATATTTTGAATAAATGAATATTATTCAACCATTAAACGCATTAATGAACTATTTATTATCAAATATTATCATATATGCGACATGTTATATAAATTCCAATAGATATGTCGCTTTTGGCACCTATTTTCTTTGAACTCCATTTTCATGCGTTTTATGAAAACATTTTTTAAATCTAAGAACAATTTCAGTAAAAATATGATATCTGATAGAAGGTACTTCCAACTACTATGTATATATATTTACATTTATATTTTGAGCTTTATATTAAGACATAATGTTCAAAAACAAAGTGATATGTCACTTTTGGTGCCTTTATTCTAATCATGAAAGTCTATTTGAGTAACAAAAATTGTGTTATGTTGATTTAAGGCGTATATATGCCTTTTATGAACATCAGTGAAAATTTAAGGATACACATACCCACATCTTTCGTAACTAAAAGTTTAGAAAAAGGTTCAACTCTGAGAGATGATCGCGGTGATTATCAGATTGCGTCCACGAATGGGTAGGTCTGAAATGCCTCTAAAAACGGTGGGCGATTAAGGAAAGTTGCAAATTAACATGCCATTGCGCGGTCATTTTCTCGGTAGCTACTCTCGCCATCGCGAGAGAGGCCAATTTTCCGCACTGAGGCCGTTCCGTCCTTTTCTACTGCCGCGCGCGTCCGCGCGACTCGAGGAAATCGACGCGCGAGAAACTCGGCGCGGCGCGGCGCGTATTAGCCGAGCGTCGTTTATTGCCGTAATTACGCGCCTACTTGTAAGGATAGCACCCGGTGGTCCGTTACAAATTCACCGTGCACCGCTTGCACTCTCGCACGAGCCGTGCTGTGCCGTGCCGATCCTCGATGAGCCTCAACCACCTGTTGCGCATCGACACGTCCGGCTCCGCCGTCGCGAATTTTTACTTTTACTTTTAAATATGAGCGCGCACAGTGGAAACATTGAACGCGAGTACGGACATTGGGCCTGAGATTAGCGGCGATTTCAGCGCGGATCGATGTATCAAATCTGTTAATTCGGCTATAAAAGCCTGCCGCTTAATTGCGTTACCGCCGACAAGCGGTACCGCTATTTAATCACCATTTCTTAACTAATATCCCGTGATTAGCATGACATGGCGTGCGTTTCAATCGACTTTCTATTTTTTATTCCTTTCTCCGTCGTTTGTATAGGAGCGAATTATGAACAGCAGACTGTCTACTAATTATTTCGCGACGAGCTTTTGAGCGCGGCCTAATCGTTAGTAAAATTTAACAACACACGAGAGAGCGAGTATTTTCGTCGGAAAACGTGGGAAAAAGTAGACGACAGGATCGCTTCCTCGTTCTGCGTGCGATCTGTTTAGCCTTGTTTGTCGAATCGTCGATCGAATCTGGCGTTTCCTGGAGCGCGCCGCGGCTCTCGCTTTCGTTCTCACACGTGCCACGCGTTACGCTCTCCTACGGAAGCAATGCCGCACGCAATCTCTGTTTTGTGCTCGCAGTAATCCTAGTGCAGAATCTTGGCGCAGAGGAGTGTCTCTTTTTTGCATGGAACTGAGTAAATAATAACTTTAGTCACCGGCACGCGCAAAAAGAGACAATATAGTTTCTTTTCATATAAATTCTTTTTAATTTTATTATGTTTTCAGTAATGCGGGAATAGACCGTAAGCAGAATCCATCTTGCTAAGATAACATAGTAGATTCGATAGAAATAAAACAAATTTTATTAGAATATAGTAAAATTTTGTAATGTTTACAGTTATCGTCTTTTTTACATATACACAGTGTTAATATTTTAATTTTATCGGGAAATTTTCTAAGTATATATATAATTTATTACCATTCAGCTATATACATTAAATAGCCAAGAAGGGGACTTGGTTTACATTAAACAACTACCTCACACATTCCACACATCCTCTATTCATTCATTCTTTCCATTCCTCCATACTTTCTATATCTATATCACATTAAATTCTCCTCTCTCTTTCTTCTTTCCTTTACCCCATGGGAAATTTTCTAAGTAATTAG